GGTAATTTAATATGAAAAGACTTGACCTTACCTTAGCAACCAGCAGGATGTACATTCCATGTCAGTTTCAAAGTTGTGCGATCACGCTTTTAGATTTTTTTTTTTGACTTGAGAATATTGCATGCGTGTACCCTTAAAATGTTGAACAAAAAAAAAAATCATATGACTTGTTTGTAAATATTTCTTTTTATCCATTATCAGCCTAATGCTGACAGTTGTTTTGTATTGCATATATGCTGTTCTGTGAGTAACGTGCTGGATCGTAGCAGGGATGTTTCCTCCTCGAAGATTTTAGAGAAGCAGGGAGAAAAACACTGGAAGTCCTTCAAAGCTGATTTGGAATTTTTTCACTTCAAAGTTTCCATTAAACCTTAAATGACTGTTGTGGTCATGCGTAGCTAATATTGACTTTTGTAAGAGTATTTATAGAAAGGTTTTTTTGGGTTAATATTTCATATACACGCTCTGCTTCAGGGGGCTGGCAGAGGGTACGATGACATGTCAGCCATGAATGTTGATGTCAGGAATTACTGAATTTATAAAGTAATCCCTGCGTGACAGCTGATTGGCTGGAGCTGTAGTGACAGCATGATATCCGCTTTAAGATGTGGATGGATTAGCACAGAGCCCGGGAGTGGTCACACAGAAGACCATTTTTATTTTGATGCACAAAATGGCAGATTGTACTGTAAACACAGTAAAATGTACTGAAGAACGTCAAAATCTAAAATTCATGTCTTCTTCTTTATGATCATGTGAACGCGATTTTGTAATATATGCAAACAGGTCGTCAAATTTGACTTCGTCACTCATTTACGATGGTGCCCCCATTGCCGTTATTCATGTTAAAGGCTTAATCACTGAGTTTGACATAAAGCTGAGTCAAGTTTTTGCCTTTTATTTCTGTTTCTACTTATTTTATTACATTAGCTAAACAGTCTCCCTATGTAAGAAAATGTATTGTTTTAGTCAAGCTCAGGAAAGTCTGGATTTAAAGGATGAAATTTCAGAATTCATTTGAAGACATTTTAACTGTCATTATGGTACTGTAAACTTAGAGCCTGTTTATTTGGCTCATCAGAAGTTGTTTTTCCCGACCTCTGTGAATTTGACGATATGGCGTTCTTACTATGCAGAATATTTACTGTACCTTCTTCCATGGTCACTCCCGGGCTTTCTCTTTTTTTTAAAGTGTGAACAAATGAACCCATCCTTAAATGGGTGATGATTCTACCCCCCCCCCTCAGCTTTTTTATCTCTGTCTTACTCGTCTGTTAAGAAAACCTGTTCTACCTTTGAAGGACAAAACAAGGGCTCAGTAACATGAAGATATGAATTCCTGAATGGTGTAAATATAAATGTGATTCCTGATGTGTATATCACTGAGGCATCTTATGATGATGTAGAATGTGAAGTTTCTGTACTTTGTGGCAACAGACTTTAAAAAACAAGGTCCATCACTGTAAAGGCCTTACGAATAATCAGGTGCAGTTTACAAGTCGAGATATCTGGATTTACCCGCTTACTTTTTAAAGAATGAAGGGTATCCGTAAAAACCATAATGCACTGGTACTCTACATTCCCCCTTTAAATACTGTTTCACTCCGAAGTCTGCAGTTTGTCGTCCAGTCAGAAACTTTTCTCGACTGGTGGCGAACAAAAAGGGTTTTGTCTGTTACAGTAAAAATCAACTTGACGAACCCAAACAAAACATTCCACTGATGTTGAAAAACTGCAGCGCTAATATCTGTGAAAGCAGAAATCCATACGGTGCATTCAGGTTTCTGGCTACGGGACCAAATTCCACTGTACCGGCACTGAGGCGTCTCTGTCTTCAGGACCAAAACCACTAAATGAACTAGCTGCTAGAGAGGAGACCTTACAAAGAAAGGTTCTCCTTATGAAAACGTCACACTCGACCTCAGAGGTGCAGTTACAGAGCTTCTGCTGAAACCCATCATCACCGTCTGATCAAATCATGTGACTTCCTGTTAAGTGCAACACTTCCTGTTATGTCTCTGAACAGGTGTCAGGGTTCTGACTACGTGTTTCAGTGAACTGTTCTTATCACTACAGTATTGGCTATTTCATGCCTGATCAAGTTTGTCAACATTTTGAATAAAGTCTAAATCAATGCTGTTGTGGAGTGTGATGTTTTTCTTTTCTGAGAAATAACGAGCCAGTGTGAAGAGAAACTGGTTTTTATTTGTAAAGCAGCACATGCAACAAGCACTTTTGGCACAGATTTCACATTCACAGACTAATCGACTCACTTCTTCACAGTAAAGTGACAGTTTTTCAATTCTGAAGAAAGTGCTCGGCTAAAAGCTCAGCTCACATCCATCGATCCTCGAGGATGGATTAGATACAAACCCGGTTTAACATGGCTGCACTTAACAAATCATGGTCACAGTGTTTGAGAAACTACGAATGAAACTTCCCTCTGTTCACAGGAAACAAATCAAAATGTAAGAAAAATAATGATGATAATAATGAATCAAATAAAAAGGCTAAACATTAGTTGACATTTAACTGGAGGTGGAAAGAGCTGGTGATTGGACCATGACCTTTAACCTCCACAGACCTTTAATGCTATGAGTGAAAAAGTGCATCACTTTCATCTGCACTGATTTTTGGGGCTGCAGCCGTCGAGGTAGCGCTGGATGTTTGAAACTGACAGACGACGAGTCCGCTCATCCACTGTGTCGTTCGTCTGCAGGAAAAAGAGACAAAGGGGGAGAAGGAGACAGAGATGGGAGAAGATTCATCAGGCGCACAAAAGGAATAACTGTTACACTATTCTACACGTCTGTGTGCGCAGATCTAAAAATAGTGGCGAGGGTGGGGTGAGCAGAGGTAATTATAGTCGTGGAGAAAAGATTTCTCCTCCAGGAGTTTCATTCTCCCTCCCTCTTTCTGTCCAAACTGCAGCCGGCCTTTGTTACATGACAGCTGATACTTGACTTCCCATTGGTTAGTCTTTTGTTACACCTGAGAGAGGTCACCTTTCACTCTCTAACGATACTGTCCAACTCGTCTGAGTGCAGACACACACACACACACACACACACACACACACGGATGGGACATGGGCCAAGAAAGACGCAATTCAATTTAGGCACAGATCCAAACAAAGAGGAATTTATTTTTCACTTTCTCCTGACATTTTCACCACTGTCTCAGAGGATGGGGGTTGGGGGAGCACCTGCACCAGAGGGTTAATCAGTGCAGGTGAGAGCTGTTAGCTGATTGATCGTCAGGTTTAAAAGGCAGCGGCTGAGCAGGGAGACAGGGACTGAGGGACCCAGAACTGAAAACAGAGACACATGGGGGAGAGTTTCTGTGTGGTTGATGTTAGCTCATGTGTGTGGTAGATAATAAGGCTGTGGCAATAGACCATGTGTACAGGTGAAGGTGCTCGCCCAGCCCCCTCACCTCCACAACTTATTTTTACATGGTGTTTTTTTAAATCAGCTTTTTATTTATATGTATAAATTTGTTTGACCAAGTTTCTGGTCTGGTAACAAAACCCAATTTCAGCAAAGTATTTCTCATTCTGATTTAAATTCATGTGTGTGTGTGTGTGTGTGTGTGTGCGTGCATGTCTTCCTACCTGTGTGTGTTCAGAGCACAGTGACACATTTACGGGAGCCACGGTCGCTGCTCTTGCCCTGCAAGGGGATCTCGATCTGGGCCTGGAGGCAGTACTTTGTTTTGTGTTTCAGCTTCTTCAGAGTCAGTGTCTCAGAACAGCAGTTCATCTCAAACACCTCCTACAGAGAGAGAGAGAGAAGGAGACATGGAACATATCCACATCAAACATTTAGTGATGATGTACAGTTGATTGTGTGCTTGTTACCTCTCGTGTGCACATTGTGTGTGTGTGTGTGTGTGTGTGTACCTCCTTCCCACTGGTGTGTATGAGGAAGATGTTGTAGAGCAGACTGCGGTGCATCTTCCGGACCAGCGGTCGGGGCAACTTCACACGAACCACAATCCCTTCCTCTGTGACGCTCAGCCGCAGGACGGGTCGGCTGAGTTTAGCTGCAGAAAGAAGGATCAAGTTTATTTATTTTTAATGAAACACAAAATCAAGGTGATGAAAGAATGACGAACAGAAACAAATATTTACTGATAAACTATTTTTAAAACAAAATAATTTGATGTATAATAGAAAATTACAATTTGAAGCCTGAAATCATAGGACAAGATGTCAAGGGGGGAGGGGGAGGAACAAGATGAGGAAGAGGAGGAGGAGGAGGAGGAGGAGGATGTGTAAACACTCACTGTCCCAGCGGGGGCTGAATCTGGGGGAGAGGGCCCAGGCTGATTTGTTGGAGGGCAGAGAGGAGGCGTGAACTCTGGCGTAGTACCACTCTCTGGGGTCAGAGGTCACGTCACTGAGGTCACACTCAGGCTTCTGGATCCCCTGACAACCGCCCACGTCCAACCACTGAGGCTCCCCGTAACTGAGGGGAGGAGGGGCAGACACAAACACAGGGGGGGGGGGTTGAAAGTCAGAGGTGACATTAACAGCCACTAGGTGTCCACTGAAGCTTATCTGTTTCATGTGTGTGTGTGTGTGTGTGTTTGTGTGTGTGAGTGTGTGTGTGATGTCTCACATCTTCCACTGGATGTAGTACAGCAGTGAGGTCTTGTTGGTGGGCGGAGTCCAGTGTAGAATGTTTTTATAGTCCACGGAGTCAAACATCACCTGAGCAGGTGGAGCGAGCATCACTGGAAAAAAGGAAGTGATTGATTATTTCCTGTCGTGGTTTATGAGCAGATAGAATCATCAATCACTAACATGAGGAAAATCAAAAAGCAAATACAAATGAGGGAAGATAATGTTAACAGAATAAATGTCAAAGGACCAAAACTTCCCAAATCAAAAGTGAATAAAGACAAAAAAGACCATATACATACTGTAGACTAATTATACAGAAATACATATTTACATAAATGCAGTTTGTTGAAGGTTATTTATGTATTTCTACATTTATTCATCCATTCATTTATCTATATTTGTATTATCTGTATTTGTAAAAACACATCAACAATATGCACAAGATAAATAAAACTATTCCATCCACATGAAAATACACACAGTTTATTTGGGGTGTTATATTCTGTCTTTAAGATGAGTGATGTTTCGTAAAGACTGTTTTTATCATGTTGTTCACTCTCAAGCAAGTAAAGTTTCAGGTTCTCCTCTTCTTCACTTGAACACATCTGTTAAATCTGTTGTTGAATGACAATCTTGCATTTGTGTGGAAATAATTCACAAAAACAGAAATAAAGTTTTACCTTGTGCAGCGACACAGACTCCCAGGTTTCCCAGCAGCACGGCTCCGAGCAGCAGAAGAGTCATGATGTAGATGTTGGTGAACACGCACACTGAGCCACACTGGACTGATGCTGCCCCCCGGCACCTCGGCCTTTAACCAGACTTCAACTTCCCCCTTTTTTTTTATGACATTACTTACACAACCTACACACTGAGGCCACGTTACATCCACTAATGCTCATTACACATTTTCCTTTACAGAAGTACATTTTACCCATGACAGCTTTCGTCACAGGCGGATCACTTTACACATGTTCCAGTCTGTGCAGACATAAACAGACTCCAACACCTCATGATGCGTTCACTGACCCAACATTCAAACAAAGATTTTTTTTTCCCGGCAGTGAAGGAGTCTTAGATCCTGATACTGACAGTCACATACATGAAAACAACCGAGACAAGACGTGACTATTCCTCCCTCAACGTGAGAAGTTATTTTGGTTACTATTATTTCTTCAATTTGAAATCCACTAATGCAACATCATCTCCAGTATGAACTACATTTTTCTTTCTCATGCATGTTTCTAAAAAGTTCTGTGATTGGAAAAAAAAAAGGTTAAAGTTTCTTGGTTTCGGACTAAAAAATTGTTGAATTGGTTTTTATACAAAACCAATTCAACAATTGGTTTTGTATAAAACCACAAATCCCATTGACATCAAAATAATCTATGGTTTTCATTCTTATTTGGATTTGACTGATGTGTTTCCTCAATGAATGCACTTTGTTATATTTCTTGTTCCTTTTCACGTCACTGAGAGTTACTGTCCCGCTTCAGGTTCACGTTTATACACACTTGTTACCGTAACCAGTGACAACTATCTGCTATTCAAACTCTTTATTGGAAACGTCAGCGGTTTCAGGAAACGTGTTTCATAATGACCAGTGACAGTGCAAGAGAGAAAGAGAGAGAGACAGGAGGCCTCTAACCACAAGGTCGGCGGTTTGATCCCAATCTTCCCCATCATCATGCCGAAGTCTCCTTGGGCAAGACGCTGAACCTCAAATTGCCCCTCAAAGAAAAAGTCCTGCCCATAGATGAACTGAATGAATGTGTGTGAATGGAAATACACTTTACTGAAAAGCACTTTGAGTGGAAAAGCTCAAAATAAACACTGTATGTCGTTTACCATCTTATCTGTCTATTGTCACTTCATTTTTCATTTATTAGTATTTCCAGTAGCTGGCGTCTTTATATTCATATTGATCCAGAATATTAACCTAAAACCTGACTATGCAACTTAAAATTCACGTTACATCATTACAGTTGAAATACATTTCATCTAGAACGTGACTTATTTTTATCACCGAACATCAGCGGAGGATCAACACCGGATAGTGAGGTCAGTTATCAACTGTTACTGGTAACAATAAGGTCTCCCACACACACACACACTTGTGCAAACACAGAAACAAAGGAGGTCTCCCTCGTCGCTCAGATTAATGGTTTTAGAGGAAATAGCTAAAATGTCACACGTGTGCTTCTTCCCTTAAATAGTAACACTGAGCGAAACAATGTGATGCTGTGATTTAAATAGTCCGTCAGTCCTGTAGTAACAACCCGGTTCTAAATTGGCTGCCGTCAACACTGAAATACCAACTTCCCTTCCTGCATTGGCTGCATTTCTCATTTCATACAGTAACTCAGTGAACAGAACATATGATAATTTGAGCTGGATGAACTTCACAGAACAGGACACAAACAGGAAAAGGTAGAGAGAATTTGTTTTTAATGAAGTAATGTATGCTACATAAAAAGGATAAATCCAGCAGTTTGCAACAGAAAGGCCAACGATTTGCTTAACAAAATAAAACTCAAACATTTGACCCAGACAATCATTCAAACTGATCAGTAGAATCGTCTGCAAATCTTACACACACACAAAAAAACCCAGAATTATTATAAAAACACATTCTGCATATACAGTGACAGGGAACTTGAAAGGTTTGAGATGCAGTAACGTTGAGGATTCTTATTCATCGAACAGGACCATCAGGGAATGATGAAATGAAAATTATTCTAAAGCTCAAAACCGTCACTAAACCAACTACTCGTTTCTTCAGGAACACCAGATGAGGCCCCCCGACCCCAGTGAGCCCTGATCTCTGCATCAACAGGTCAGTCTGGGTCTCATACAGCCAGACGAAGTGAAAGAAACTCAAACAGAAATGGATCCACGCATTTTTAAATTATAAATACTGTAAATGCTTCTAGAGATAATTTGAATGTTTGATTTATGCTTTTTACAAACTTATTATTCATTTTTCCCTTCTTCTCCTGATGGAGCAACAGGTGAGGACGAGGACGCACCTGAACAGCTCCGTATTAAAAATCAATCAAATCTTCATCACATTTCTTTCGTGACCTGCCCATTTATCTTAATTTTCTTTGACTCAAACACAGTCACAGAATAAAATGTATAAAAAAATAAAACTTACTTGAAACTTTAAGGTGCATCTTCATAGTAAAATAAAGCATTTGAATCATATTGAAAAAACAATGAAGTGCAAATGCATTTACAGGATATACTTTATCTTTCCACAGTGAAGACAGGATTTAGACTCAGCTCTACTAGTAATGAAAATGTTAATGCTTGTGTTCATGCAACAGATAGTATAGATGTAGTAGGATATTATGTTTATGGAATGGTTAATAAATCCTTTATCGTTTGCTGTTTATCTTAATTTACACTTTTCTTATAAGTCACTGACACAGTATCGTCACGGGCTTATTATCAACCAATGACTAACCTCGTTAAAAGATATTTGATGTATTAAAAGTATTTTTCTTTTCATCCTGGCAACACAGACGGAAATAGATCCAAAGTCTGACCTTTAAAATGTATCGATTCAATGGATTTAATGTCAAAGAGCCTCTGAGTATTATAAAGTGAACATTGTTCACTTGGACAGACGCATCATTGATTAGGCTTTTGACTGTCACATGACAATGGCACATAACGTGAAGGCATTCGATCAACTGGGCACTTTAAGACAACAACTCTGCTCCAGTTGGAACAGTTCTAGTGCAATAATTTTTCATTTCCTGTTTTCTGCTCTCATGTTTCCAGGAGTGGGGCAGTGAATTAGAAATTACAAAGAAAAGATCTATGGCTGTTGTTTTCATCGACGCGGCGCTAAAACACCCAAGTGTTAAATAAATAAAACTGGTGTACACAACATCACGAAATAACAAGATACTTTGAGGCAGGAGCACAATGTGATGTTTACCAAAGATCCTCTAACATCAGTCTGCATTTGAAATTAAGATTAGGGAAGCACATTTAAACATGCCTCCAAAGAGTTTGATGAAAATCGGTTTTTGGCATCAGCTTTAATGCGTCATTTATCTAACTCCCACATATAATGAATAAGATGCTTTCTCACTATGTCGTACAATCAGACACGCGCAGTTTGTGAGAGCAGCAAAGTGAATCACTAATATCTGAGACGGGGTAATAAACAGATGAGCAGTGTGTCTTCACTGCTGATATTCTGGTAAATGATCAAATTCACTTTTTGTTAATCAGTCATTACTAAGGCAGAATACTGAGACAATGTTTAACTGATTTTCAAAAGGCTTCTTTTTCACATTTGATGAGGACATCGACTGAACCTTCTGTAGCCATAACTCCTTTGTAACTTGTTAACTGTTGGATCATTACAGGCAAGAGCCACAGTCAACCTGTTCGGAGGATACCAGCATCACCTTCAGGAGCGATAGGCCTCCACCAGCTCATCTGACCCCATCTTTACCAACACTGGACGCTTCTCGTAGCCATGCTGGGCCTCAATGTTGTCCTGTGGCTCATCTTCATCCAGGCTGCCGCCTCTCAAGTACCCCTGTCCTTCATCACTCAGGGGCTCCTCCTCATCAGGCTCATCTTCAGCGTTTTTCAGGACAGCTCGCAGACGTAGGACAGGAGAGTCAATGGTGGGAGCAGAGGGCGTGAACATGGGCTCTTCTTCGTTGGACAGTAGAGGTGTGGGAGAGGACGGCTCCACTCTTAACACAACAACCTGCTCCGGAACGACCGCCATGGACCCCTGCATGGGTCTTTTGATTGACTTCACGAAACAACGAGGAAAAGTGGGAAAAGAACAGTTCAGAATAATATGAATTCAAATGAGACTCATCATATAAAACCTGAAGTGGTAGAGATAACCTACCATAGAGCCTGGAATCACAGTCTTTGGCCAGGTCTTCTTTTTGTAAACCAAGAAGACGACAAATACAACAACACAGACTCCCAACACACTGACGATGATGTAGACAATGTAATCTGGAAAAAACAAATGGAAGAATGATTACATTTGAAGACAGACACATGCACTGGGTTTACTCGGCCTCTGTCTGGCAGCAGACACAGTTTCCTACTCACAGTACAACAGTTACAAGAATTAATTTGCCTCAGCTGCCTTTGCATTTAAATTAATTATTGTTAGACCGTAAATATTTTTATGTTTTTATGCTTTTTTTGCAAGTCTGACCAGCAGATCCCCAGCGTGCATAGAGCACTAATCCGAGTACTTCAGCGAAATAGGACCAGATTCATGTTATTTAGACATACAAATAAAAACATATGGTATTAATTACTGTGTATTAGTACAAGTTTTACATTTTTGAGTCAAAACCGCCAAAATATTGGTGATAAAATTCATTCATAATATAAAAAAATCCACACAATGTCATGGTGGGACCCCTGATAAAATATTACTCAACTGTTCTGGTCAGGTGGCACTGGGATCAACGGCATGGTGCAGTGCAACTCTGTGGATTCAACGGCCATTTTCTCCAGCTCTCCTGTGATGCTCAGACAGTGTTTCTCCTGCGACGCCTCCACTGGAATCTCCTGCTTACACTCACTCTTCCCACAGTGGAAATGATGCTGACGAGCCTGTTACAAAAGGTATATGATGAGATATCAGAGCTGTTTACTTCCACTAATAAATACTATTATGCGACAACAAATTTCAAATGTTTTATTCTGACCTGGCCGACGACCACAACGCTGTATTTAAACACAGGAAGCTCTTTTCTGCCGGAGCTTTTCTTCTTTCTCAGTTTTGAATTCGGGCTGTTGGGCTCCGTGGGGTGGTACCACAGCCAGGGATGCATGAAGTGGAACAAGACATTGTCGTCCGGTTGGGCCACGATGTTAACTGGTGGGAGGTCCACAGAACCTGGGAACCAACATCATCATGTTTAGAGTAACAGCAGCGAGTGTTTCAGTGATGTTTAGATTCACTCTCAGTCATTATCTGTGGGTCTGTTTGTTTTCAAGCCTCGATGATACAACATCTTAGGAATCATTGCTATTATTTTTTAATACACATTATATATTGACTGACGAATCTGCATCGAAAATGTTTTACTCTCAAATATCAGAATCTACATTGTCCCCCCCAAAATCCAAGCTCACATTTTTATAGTGGTTTCTAAACCTCAAGGAGTGACATCACAATTATCTTGTGTTGTTGTCTGCAGCAGAGCAAATGCAATAAAGAACCCTCAACCTTATCTGTGAATTCATCAGGAAGATGTGGGCATGCTGACATCACTACTCACATTTCTGAGATGAACTAGAGCCGTGAAAGTAGCTGAAAGTGATTTCCTCATCAGCGGCCGACTCATTCTGACCAACCACGGCAGTTACCAACACAAGATACGCGTTGCTAGGATCAGAGAAAGATGACAAGTTGGCCTGGAGAGCAGGTGGGTCGACCCACAGCTGAGTGGGCAAGCTGGAGAGACAACGATGAGGAAAATGAGAAACACTTTGGATACTGAGACATCAAATCTGTCACAGAAAGTCTTTGTCACAAGCTGAAGGAGTAAAGATGACCAGGCCGGCTTATATAAAAAAAATAATACTGATTTATGCATATGTACATTCTGACAAACACTGAGGACTGAAAATGATAATATAATCATTTGTCTGCAGTAGTTTACTGCTACATGCGTTTATAAATGCTTCATAAAATCTGGTCAAATATCTATTATGTTTCCAGAAACAATTGCAAACATCGACCTGAACAGGATTTGTGGAATCACTTCAGAATTGTTAAAAACAATAAGAGATGAGTGAGCTGATATAAAATGATCTTCTCTTTTCTCCAAATCATCTTTAACCGTAAGATGACAATAATAAGAATTCAAGCTCTAATCAAGCACATGTGTCACAAGCAAAGCACGTCTCTGGTTCAGCTGCGACTATAAATTGTTCTCCAGGAATATGATGTTGAACACTAATTGACTTACTTACACAACAAAGGTTGTATTTTGTTGTGAACACAACTATACACTTTATGTGGATCAATGCTTTAAAAGACAGACAATACCGTGCGGCGTAAATTATCATGAGGTGCATAATGTTTATTTATGTTCACACATTTTAAAGCAGAGATCATCCACAAAATATATATAGTAAAATGGGAAACACAAGATATTTGACAGGTAATTAATAGAAAGAGATGAACGTGACTATATCTCACCCTTCATATGGCCGGATATCGACTCTGAATCTGAGGCCTGGCAAGAAGCGGCCGTAACTCCACTCCAGGGTGTTTTGCAGATTGTGGCAATGCAGGGTCACTTTGGTCGGCGGCTCCACTGTGGAGACAGAGACAAAGATGTCAGCCCACAGACATTTTGAGTCATCAATCCTGATACCAAACCAAAACCCTGGGTTTAATATTAGACTGTAGGTGGAGCTCCATTTCCACTGAACTGTATTATTAGGCTTATTCAATGCCCCAAACTCCCCACTAGAGGGCACTGCATGAAAACTGATGTAGAATATACTGGTGTGTTGAGCTCAACGTACACCATGTGTACACCATGTGTACACCATGTGTACACCATGTGTACACCATGTTTACACCATGTTTTCTAGTCTGGATTCTTTACAGACAAAGTGAATTCACATAGAAATTTCTGCAAACCAGGTGGAGTGGATGGAAACTGTCTCTTGGCACTGAACTCCAAAACAGACTTCCTGACGGCCTACACCCAAAGTTCCTCAAATCCAAAGAAGTAAAAACAGAGCACAACAATCAGATCCTTACATCACTGACATCAGTTTACTTTAAATGAAGCAGATTTGGACTTGAGACTTGAACAGCAGGTCTGATGACTCACTGGTTACTTCTGCGTACTATTACTGACGTCTGTGCGTGTTTACACAAGTCCGTTGTCTTTCCTTAGAAGCTGGTGCATTTCTGATAATGTCCACACTTCACTGATTCATCCACGGGTTTTGACTTTTTTCTTTGGAACCTAGCATTAAGATTGATGGAGAAAGGCAGGCCTCACACAATAAGGTTAATAACTCAGTACGTTTTTTAAAGATGTAAAAGTGCACATTGTGTGTCATTTTCAAACTTCGTTAAAAAGGACAACAAAACGGCTCCGGTGAAACGTTCAGGGGCTTCACTGAACACACCTTCACATTCATTACATGAAATAAAAACAGAAACCAAAACGTTGCCCACGCATTTTTGTTTCATTTCCTCTGTGAACAAACATCAACGTACATGCACGTGATAATACACATCCTCAAACTGTGAGGTGAGAAGTGTGAAGCAGATGGTTACATGTTTACCGTAAAGAAGTGATAACCACAACAGTAAAGTTGGTTTCTGAGGGCTGTCACCACGCTGGCTCGAGACACACAGACTCACACTCTCAACCACAAACTTACGTCTACATTCATTTTATATTGTAGCAGGTTGAGATTTTAGGGAGCCCAAAATAAGAATAAAAAGTCACACTGAATATTCTTACTCTTATTATTATAAGTAAATCTACGAAAGATTTTATAAATACGATTTTACAGAGAGGAACATTTTGCAGATAGTAATAATGCACAACACGTGCATCAAAACAATATTTAAATTGACAGATTTGGAGGAAGACATAACTACAATCAACCAGTTGTGAATCATTGGATCAGTAACACTCATGCAATAATGTAAACTGATGTTACTGTTGTACTTTGAGCTCTGAAGTTAATGAATATTTTTATTTTATTACACACACACATTAATTTTCTCTTAAGCAGGTAGACTCTTCAGTACGTTGCTTGTTGTTTTTCTACAAACGCTTTGATGGCATAATATATAACTATATAATATATAAATATATAGCTCCTCAAAGATAAAAGTGAAAGTGCCAGTTATAGGAAAGCCCCAGTAGTAGTACTGGAATATAATACACAGTGGCTCATCACAAATCAGTTTGTCAGGGGATTACCTCCTAAGAAGTAAAAGAACTGCTGAACAACGCACACACTCATGTATTCTCTCACGTGCTCCGTGAGATCTGACACGACTCAGAGACTCAGGCTCGTGAGCAGACTGACAGTCTCAAACTGAAACCTGCAGACCAACTGAGAAGATAAAAAGCCTCTGCACACAGATGCGAGCTGTGAGTCTGTGCTCACTGGAGCGATGTTATCTCTTATCTGGCAGTGAGACCTGAGACGGAAGTCTGCAACATAAGCAGGCTGAGACAGAGGAGTGCAGGGGAAGGAAGAGGGGGTTTTAATCAGCTTTACTCTAGTTGATGTATCTTTTCCCATGTGGACGGATCCACAACGACCGTTAGCAGCAGGCAGAGAGCGGAACCTTCTGAGTGACTTTTCAGTTCTGCTCACAAATTTGACTTCAAGTGTGGAGAAACGACACATGACCTCTGCTGCGGTGAAGATGCACTGACTGTGTCACCTCAACTACAGTATATGTGAACTGAAATTTAAGACACAGTGAGAGCTGGAGGTGTGGAGGAGAAATTCCACATGTCGTGGTGGAATTGCTTGGCAATCTCACTCTGCAGAGTCTGAGGACCTTCCTGCAGGAAATTCACAGTGTCTAAAACTCATTGTTTCATGATGCTTTGGTCAGTGCTTACATTTTTTCCAGGTATTCGCACTTCCCCATGAAGAGCCAGTTCTGCCCCCCCAGGGACCAACAGCACAATTCTGCTGCCCTCAGATCTGTGAGCAAGAAAACCTTTTGATACACACAACGTCCTCCCTCACTAGAGGAGCTGTTTGTTCGTATGTTTGTAATGCCAGAGCAAAGTTATCTGAGGTATGCGTTCTGTGGAACATTGTAATCTCAAGATGAATAAATGTTAAACGTCTGGTGATTTGTCATCTCATAGTTATTTCCTGAGAGATGTTTTACATGAGATTTCTCCATCTATATTTTTTTAATTTTCATTATTCACCAACTGCAATACGTTAGTGTTATAACCCTCAGACAATTAAAGTATTGTCTAGACATCCTCTTGGCTGCTGCACAATCACTCCCACTGCAACGCCCCAGTCTTGGTTCCTGTTTGTGATTTTTATATGTCAATTCAAGCAAAGTGCCACAGACTTAAAGACTAAAAGCTCTTCTGATCTAAGCATTTATATCCCAGAATATAAATTTCCAAAGTACTGTTGTGAAAGGTATTGTGTATTCAGCAGGGTTTCAATAACTGGACATGTACGTGCTGTGGATTGCGCAACCGAAGGCTCTTGAGTAATACTGAAAACTACAAAGAGGAAATCCAAAAAAACTGTCTTCAAGCAATCAGTCACATGTGAGCTTAGTGGTTCACGGCTGTTTGTTCTGGTTAAAATAATATTCTGGGGTCAAAGATCTCGTCTTACACCTGCTCTCCTGTCAAGTTTAAGTATAACTGTTTACATGCTCAGAAACACAGAGTGTGGGGACAGACAAGTGCAACCAAAGGTGTTTAACAATCAAACAAAGATACCAACAATTAAAAAATAACAGACTAAAAGCAAGCTGGCGAAAAACTTAAAAAAATAAGGGCAAAAAATAAAAAAAACAGTTTCTTTGTGGTTGTTCTTCGTCCCTTTATGGTCATTTACATGATTTCCTGATAGGAAGACATCACAGCTGCTTTCAGACACTCATGCACTGAACTCTGTGTTCCCCGGACATTCTCCAGAGTGTACGTGCGAGCGCAGATGTCCATGTGAGAGGCTCTACCCCAGGGCCCCTGGTAAAAAGATGCACAAAGTCCAGAGGAGCCGACAGCAGGAGATTCTCCGTGGTATTCACCCCTCGCCTGAACGCTCCGGAGATTTCTGTGTTGTTGTGAACGTGTCTGAGTGGAGAATCTCCCACTGCGACCATAGTAAAGGGCAAACTCCGGAGAAAGTCCGGATCCAATTCTGTGGACATTTTCCAGTATTCATGTCTGAAAACAGCTTTAGAAACTCCGTCAACACGGCCACTCGCCGGCCGTCAGTCCTCGGGAGCATCTCCTGCTGTTTTCAACACGAGGGCTCGTTCGGACATTCTCCGGAGTTTTCACTAGAGCTAGGGGTCTGCCGACTCTCGACGTCGAGTTCAGTGCCCGTCTGACAGCAGCAGGTTTTCCATGATGTGTCCTGTCAGTCACCTCAGACAAGTCAACAAAGGGATAGTTCACCCCAAAATAAAAATCCACTCATTAACCACTCACCACTGTGAACGAAGGAGGCGTGGGGGGGGGGGGGGGGGGTGTCTGAACATGAACGTGGATCACGACAAACATTCAGACAATAAACACACAGTGTAAATTACGCTGCTTCGAGGACGAGGACACCTGGAGACCCCACAGGAGCAACATGGAGGCAGTTCACCTTTGAGGTCATTTACTTTTGATTGTGTTGGATTTGGCCTCAAGGCTGTTTATCCCTGGAACTCCAGGAGTGTTCTGTGGACTCAAACACCTCAGCCACCCTTCCACCTGCATAGTGCCGAGGAGATAATGAGTGATTCTTCGTTTCTGGGTGAACTATATGAACCATATCTCTGAAACAGCTGAGGAGCTGAAGCTGTTAGAGGCAGAAACACGACATCCTGCAGACTGAGGCGGATTCACACCGGGGAGCAACATGACGTGAGCCAGAGTCACGGTCATTCTCACATGTGAGCGTGAGAAGTGAAAACAACACCGAATCTCTGTTAGCCAGCAGCTAGCGGCCTGCGGCTAACAGGGATTCGTGGGTGTTTCCCGGTAACGATGATGATGATGATGATGGTGAGGAGGATAAGGAGGAGCAGCTCCTCTTCCTCTCTCCTGCTCAGTGTCCTCAGACAACCGTCATTTTATAAATCACCCCTGACACACGCTCCTTTTGTTTCATTAGCTGTAACAGATGCGTTAGCTCGCGAGGACCGATAACTCACCGACGCACCACGCGACAGGGATCCACAGGAAAACGT